GTGAGTCAGGCCTGTGTCCCACCACGCCTTCCATCTGCCCTCCCTAGAGAGTAGGTAATAGATTTCAGCCAGTTCCAAAATCCCAACAGAAGCCTCACTTACCTCCTTTCTTGAATTTCCCACTGAACTCCAGTCAAAACTGATGTCCCTGACCTGGAGAGCCTGGCTGACTAGGCTTCAGGCCTCTGCTGGGCTGACCGGGCAAGAAGGCTCGTTCCTGCTCCGTGTCCATGAGGCCTGTGAACAGAGGCGACTCCTGGGCTCTGGAGGGCCTGTCACATAGGCTCCATCTGAGACCTATAGGAACACAGTGGGCAGAGGCGAGAGGAGCCAACAAGTTGAATTTAAAATCTTGGACTTTAAGTGGCAGCTTATTAAAAAAGACTTAGGTTACTAAAGAGCTCAAAGTGGCAGATTAGACGTAAACACAAATCTGCATTGATCTTAAAGCAGTGAGATAATGTGAGAAGCGGAAGGGACTCTGTAGTGCAGTGTCACCAGAGAAGAGGCACTTGCCCACCTAACAATACCTCTTAAGCAGCCCAGGACCAGTTCTTTGAGAAGTAGAGAGTTCACATTGTGACACCTGAGGCTGGGTTCCTGGGACCTAGGCCAGGGGGCTCTTAGGAGGCCTGGGAGGTGTGAGGAGGCAAACCTGGGTGAGTCTGAGGAACAAAGGCCTGATACCATGGGAGCTTGGGCGCGAATTGCGCCATGCCAGCTTCTTGCTCAGAGGTGAAGAGCCGATCCATTAAGTCCTGCAACAGTTGGTCAATGGCTTAGAGTCTTCCATACAAACTCCTTAGGGGGGTAACACTGGCTCACACTGGCCAAGACAATCCTTTTGAGGCAGGGGCAAATATGTCCCCTGGACAACAGGGGGACAGATGTGCAGCCTGGGGAAGGCGTCTGATGGGCCACCAGCATTAGCCATGCCTTGGGAGTCTTGCTTGATTGTTGATGAAGGCCAGTGTGCAGAAGTTGCCTGGCCAGGCTGATGTCCCTAGTGGCTGCACAGAGAGCCTTCTGAGAGAATCCAGAAGAGGAAAAAAAAGACCCTGTCTGAGTTGAACCAAAATACTGCTTAGAAAATAACACCAAGGTTCACCTTGCTCTCCCCAAGGGCAAAAGGAAACAAATTCCACCTTGACTTGATGTAAATTCAGGGTGGAACTCTCCACCTTGATTTGATGCGGATTCAGGTGGACTCTCCCTGCAATCTCCAGTTACTCTGACTGAGCTGAGTCCCTGTGGCTCAAACTGTGCCATTTTTTTTCCAAATGATTTTTTCATATTTATTTTTTTAAAAWTTTGTTCTAATTAGTTATTCACGAGAGTAGAATGCACTTTGACACATCATACATAAATGGAGTATAACTTCTCATTCCTCCGGTTGCACATGATGTACAATCACATCAGTCATGTAGTCATATATGTACATGGGTAATAATGTCTGATTCATTCTACTCTCCTTCTTACCCCCATATCCCCTCCCCTCCCTTTACTCCCCTCTACCTAATCCAAAATAACTCTATTCTTCCCTACCCTATCCTCTTTATTGTGAGTTAGCATCCGTCTATCAAGAAAACATTCGTTCTTTGGGTTTTTGAGATTGGCTTATTTCACTTAACAGGCAAATGCCATTATTTCATTCTTCTTTAAGATCGAGTAATATCCTATTGTGTATACGTACCACATTTTCTTTATCCATTCATCTGGTTCCATAGTTTAGCTATTGTGGGTTGAGCTGCTATATACATTGATGTGGCTGTGTCACTGCAGTATGCTGATTTTAAGTCTTTTGGGTATAAAGGAGTGGGATAATTGGGTCAAATAGTGGCTCCATTCCAAGTTATTTCTGAAGCATCTCCATACTGCTTTCCATAGTGGTTGCACCAATTTGCAGTCCCACCAGCAATGTCTAAGTTTACCTTTTCCCCCACATCCTCGCCTACATTTATGGTTGCTTGTATTCTTGATAATTRCCATTATGATTGGAGTGAGATGAAATCTTAGAGCAGTTTTAATTCGCATTTCTCTAATAGCTAGAGATGTTTAACATTTTTTCATATATTTGTTGATCGATTGTGTTTCTTCTGTGAACATTTCAGTTTCTTTGCCCATTTATTGACTGGGTTGTTTGTTTTTTGGGTGTTAAGTTTTTTGAGTTCTTTACATATCCTGGAGATTCATGCTCTATCTGAGGTGCAGGTAGTAAATATTTTCTCCCATTCTGTAGCCTCTCTCTTCATGTTATTGATTATTTCCTTTGCTGAGAAGAAGCTTCTTAGTTTCACGTTCCTATACATCAGTGATGATTTAGGAAAATTATGAAAACTCTACTATTCACAATTACCTCAAAAAATAAAATAAAATAAAATAAAATAAAATAAAATACTTGGGAATCAATCTAACAAAAGAGGTGAAAGACCTCTACAATGAAAACCTCAGAATACTAAAGAAAGAAATCAATAAAGATCTCAGAAGATTAAAAGATCTCCCTTGTTCTTGGATAGGTAGAATTAATATTGTCAAAATGGCCATAGTAGCAAAAGCACTACACAGATTTAATGAAATTCCTATTAAAATCCCAATAACATTTCTTATAGAAATTGAAAAAGCAATCATGAAATTAATTTGGAAAAACAAGAGACCCAGAATAGCCACAGCAATACTTAGTGAGAAAAGTGAAGCAGGAGGCATCACAATACCAGACCTTAAATTACACTACTCAGCCACAGTAACAAAAACATCATGGTATTGGCACCAAGACAGACATGTAGACCAATGGTACAGTGTATAAGACACAGACACAAACCCACATAAATACAGTCATTTCATTCTAGAAAAAGGTGCTAAGGGGCTGGGGTTATGGCTCAGGGGTAGAGCTCTTGCCTCACGTGCATGAGGCACTGGGATTGATCTTCATCACCACATAAAAATAAATAAATAAAGATATTGTGTTCATCCACAACTAAAAAAATATTTAAAAAGAAAAGAAAAGAAAGGAAAGAAAAAGTGCCAAAAACATTCACTGGAGAAAAGATAGCCTATTCAACAAACAGTGTTGGGAAAATTGGAAATCCATATGTAATAAAATGAAATTCAACCTCTATCTCTCACCCTGCACAAAACTCAATTCAAAGTGGATCAAAGACTCAGGCACCAGAACAGACATCCTGTACTTAATAGAAGAAAAAAATAGGTCCAAATCTTCACCATGTTGTCCTAGGATCTAACTTTCTTAACAAGACTCCTAAAGTGCAGGAAGTAAAATCAAGAATCAACAAATGGGGTCATGATTATACRAAATACACGTATGAAGATTTGAATTTGGTGTCAACTTACCTTATATACAAACAGAGATATGAAACATTATGGTATATATGTGTATTAAGAATTGTAATGCAAAAAAAGAGTACATGTATAATGGCATAATTTGGCGTGAACATATTTTATATACAGAGTTATGAAAAATTGTGCTGTATATGTGTAATAAGGAAATGAATAAGGAGTGTAATGCATTCCACTATTGTCATGTAATAAAAAAAAAAGAATCATCAAATGGGATGGATTCAAACCAAACTGTGCCATTCTTTAATACCCGCAGGAGTGTGGCAGTCACCTGCTGACTCAGGCAAAGGTGACTTACAGCACAGAATTCTCTGCACATGACTCACCTCCCTTTCTCCATTTGTCTCTGCACCACTTTGAAATCACTCTCTACTCATCCCTGCAGAAACCCCAGTTGGATTAGGCTTTGTGATTAACCTCTCCTCCCAATCTGGCTCAGAGAGATCTTTCTGGAACCTGTGGTCTTGACCAGTAGGGAAGCCTGCTTCAAAGAAGGAGCTAAATGCCCTGGATGGTAACAGCTCCTGCCCCAGGCAGGGGAGACAAGCTTGTCCCATAGAAACCCTGCAAGTCTGGACACAAAGCCACTCTTTCATTGTTGCTGCCAGGAAAAGCCAACACACAAGATACATTCTGCATATCTTATTTAACATTCTACAGGAGACTGTGGCCACATCCAGGCAGCAGCTCAGATAAACAAAGGCAAGTGGCCATGCAGGTTTCCTCGCCTTCTCCCTAGCAGGTTCTGAGAACCATGGGAGTTCACAAATCTTGTGAACTGAGATTTGTAAACAAAGCGGGTTCTTGTATTTGACCAGGGAGCTCGAAGCAGTACACAGATCTTTCAAAAGAGCTTAGAGCACGTGGCAGATACTCTTCTCAGTTCCTTTGCCTGCAAGATGGGGTGCTTCACTAGATGATATGTTATAGGGTTGCACATTGCTTTAAGTAGATTATTGTGAGCCTGTATCCTAATAAGTACATATTTGTTCATTTGCAAATTATGCAAACATTTTCCTCTATATCACGATGTATAGCGTGCATCTCAGAAGTCTTGTTCCAGTGGGAATGATGAGGTTCAGAGGAGGGTAAGTGTGAGTAGAAGCCCTGGATTCTCACACCTTCTCCCTCTGGGAGGTGAATACTTTGGGGGATCACAAGATCAGATAATCCAGAAGAGCTCCTCCTCATGGACCCCTACATGTGTGCTGTCCGTTGTGGTAGTCACTGTCACTTGTGTCTATTTAAATTAATTAAAATGACAAAATTTAAAGCCTGATTTCTCAGACACACTGACTACATGTTAATTGCTCAACAGCCACAGGAGTTAGTGGCCATGACACTGGTCAATGCAGATTACAGAACATCTTCATGGGGGGTCTGTTCAGCAAGAAGGGAGGCGAACAGTTCAGGGCTTCCTCATAGCAGCTGACCTTCCCAAAGTCTGACTCAGCCATATGGGAGCTTCATGAAGCACTTTATGGCTTAGTTCCTCCATGTCCTGGGTGGGGATGAGGGCTGCGGGTAGCAGGGTTGCTCCAAGCTGACCAGCAAGAGTCCAGCTGAGTTCTTCCAGAGTTGTCCCTGACTTGTGGGGCACGTGCTCTCCAGGCTGGTTCCTGCACGTGTGCTTCTCTGTCCTGCAGGTACGAAGGGAATTTCTGGCAGAGCCGTGCTCCCTTGAGAACCAGCAGACTGCGTAAGCCCCCATGGGTGCCAAGAAGAAGTTGTCCCCGTCTCCGACTGGAGGGGCCAGAGCCACATGGGATCCTCAAGAACTCAGGTAAAGCTCCCCTTGGAAGTGAACCTAGACTGGACAGATGGCTGGGAGGTAGGCTGCACAGCAGCCAGCCCAGCTCTAGCAGGGGTCAGTGCATGAGGGACAGTGTCAAAGTGGATGTCTGTGAGATAATGAGAGGGACCGTGAGGAGACAGAGCCTCCCACACTGAGCAGTCCATGAACATCCTGGAGTCAGGTCCTTACTGGGCAGAGTCCCTCCAGAGCCTGGGACAACAGGAACCAGACATCTGAGTGGTTCTGCGAGAGCCACTGCTGAGATGATTGCCTGGGAGGCAGGGAGAGCTGCCCTCCCCACTCCCAGAAGGAAAGTACGGGAGCTCGAGAGGCTGCTTCCTGGAAGGGGCTTTTCTAAGCTGCAAAGGCTGAGAACCAGGCTGAGTCACTTACCTTCTCTGGACCCCTGTGTCCCCTCCCTTTCCCCTCTTCCCAGCAGCAATGAGCCCAGCCTGGGCCTTGCTTGCCGAGGGTTAACTGAGAAGATGAAGACCATTTGTGAGAGGCTGTAGGCCCCATCTGGCCAGCAGTGACTGAATTACCATCCTTCTGTGACTGATGTTTACCTCTTTGGTTCAAAGCCTGCCCCGGGACTACGTCTGAAGACTGAGGTTTTTGGTCTTGAGGACGTGTATGGAGCACCTTCTCTTCCACTTTTGGGCAGCCCCAGTGGCCCCTGCAGGCAGAGGGCACTTGCTCCCCTTCCTTCCCCCATTCGTCAGCCCCCAAACCCTCTGTGGTGGTGGAGGATGAAGACCAATGTTTTGTTACCCAGAATTTAAATCAAGGCAGGTGTTTGCTCTAGTAGTTGGTTGGAGAGTTGTAAAGGCAAAAGGAATGTGAAGGTCCTTATTCCCATAAGGAATAGGGTGAGGGGAGGTGGAAGTGCACTCAAGGTGCCCAGCGCTGCTCTTTCTCGMCCTCATCTGCATCGTGTTGCTCCTTATTCCATGGCGCTCACACTGGGCTTTGCCTGGTGACCCCTACCCCAATCACAGAGATGCCTCAAGGCCAAATGCTGCTCTGCACACCAGCCCCAGACTGCAGGCTCCCACACCAAGCGCCAAAGAATACAGTGCAACTCTTTGCTTTGTCACGGGGCCTTCCTGTGACTGTGGCAGGTGACATCAGTGTCACTTCTGTGCTTTCTAGACACTACGCGTGCCCACTTCCCTCTCCCTCAGAGCCTTTTCCACCTGCACCTACCACTGGGCATCCAGGTCCAGCCTGGCGCTCTGTGAATGGCAGGTCACAGCTCAGAGCCCCTGGAAGGTGAGGAGTTCTGGGGCATGGGGGCCCCATGTGTGAGGGGAGCCCCATGGGCATCATGGTCCCTGTGGTGAGCTCCTTGATTCTTGTCTCCATGGACCCTGCCCTCACCTCTCTTCCATCAAGTCCAGTTCTTGAATCTTCTGTTAGGCGGGTGTGGAACCATAGTGACAGCTGTGGCCGGTCACCTGCTGAGGCACTGGCAGGGTGGCAGGCACAGCTCTGTAGGTCAGGGAGGTTTCCAGTGGGTCCCAGTGTGGATCTCATTGGACCATCTGGAACTCTGCCAGTTGACCCAAATGATGGAAGTCCCCCACCCACTAGCTCCCTTCCCAGCACCTTAAAGACAGCTTCATCCAGGAAACTCCTGCGGCCTCTGTTTCTATGTTGGGGCTCTTCACTGTGCCCCTGAAGGGAGGGAAGAAGATAATCCCTGCTCTGATGAATGGGATGGTGGGTGAAGCCAGGAGAACCAACTGACTCTCCTTTGCTCCCATCTTACTGAGAATGACATTGTGGCCAGTCAGCTTCCATGTGGGGTCTCTGACCGTATGGCATTGTCCCCTGTCCAGTGCCTCAGCCATACAGTCAGAGACCGATGCCTCCCGTGGCTCACTGAGAGGTCAGGGGAGCTGTGTAACTTATGCTGAGTGCCGTGCCCAGTGTGACGCGTGATGATAAGGGTCCTTGCTGTTCAGTGGAGGATCAGGCCACTTGTGGATGTATTGGGGGAGAGACACGCAGGGGAAGTTCTCTTTGGGGACAGGGGTTTCTTCTGGAAAGCTGGGTGTGGGAGAACAAGGCAGAGGCTTTCTAGACGGGGATGGGACACACGCAGGCTCATGGCCAGAGGGGAGGATTTTAGGGAGGACTCTGGGGAGGGAAGGGGGAGTGTGGGGCCCTGTGCAACAGGCAGCAGCTACTGGGCATTTCTATTGGGGTTCTTAGGTTGCTGTAAGAAATCACCATACACCTGGTGGCTTGAAGCAACTAAACCTTATTCTCTTTGAGTCTGGAGTCCAGGAGCCTCCCAGACCCTCCAGGGGTTCTGAGGAGGACACTCCCTTCCTCTCCAAGTTGGCTCTGGGCGTTCCTTGTTTTGTGGTCACATCATTCCAGTCTTGGCTTCATTTCCACATGGCTTCCTCCCTGTGTCACCATGGGTCAGACCTCCCTCTGACTTTTTCTGTGTCATTGGATTTAGGCTGCACACTAAATCCCACTTGGTCTCATCTTGAGAACCTTGAATTGATTCCTTCTGCAGAGTCAATCAACCAACCATAGAAGTGACCTTTTGCCTAGTAAGGCCACTTCTGCAGGTGCTTTGGGTTAGGACTTGGGGGGCACTATTCAACTTGCTTTATAATTTCTCCCCATCAAAACTAGAGGAAATGATCTTAAAGTGTGTTTCTAAACGAACAACACGGACACGGTGTGTACAAGAGTGTGCATCATCCGGGCTCTCAATGTTTGTCGGCAGTGTTTGCAGAACCTTAATTATAAACCTAAACCATAAAAACACATATGTTCTTGCCCCCTGCAGGACATGTTCCACACTCTGGGGAGCGGTAGTCCAGGTAGCTTCTCTCCCGATGGCTGTGGGACCCATCAGTTCCCATTAGGGAGAAGACCTGTGGCTGGCTGCCCAGGCATGTCAGGGCCTTTGGTGTGGCTACGCACACAGCTTTACCCCCTGGCCACAGCCATAGGACGGGGCTGGGCCAAAGCAAGTGGTGCCTGCTCTGTCTGCTTCTCCTCGGGGGGGTAGGCTCCTACATGGCTTCCATTGCAGGTGCTGCCTCTTCCTAACAGGTGCACACACCTGGCTCGCTTAGGGTGACCTAGGAACCCTGAGACAAACAGATAGGCTTTCACTGTCCTTTCCTCCCTTCTTCCCCTTAAAAGCCTCAGGACAGAGTCCTGTGCCCACCTAGCAGGGCCTGTGGAAGAGCCCCAGAGGTCCTGAGGCTCCCCGCCTTTGGGGGAACCAGTTTCTATACATTTCCTGTCTTGATACCAGCACTTCATGGCTTTGTCACTCCATGATCCCAAGAGCAAGGTGGGGTCCTAGTGAGGAATGTGTCCAGACTTCAATAGAAATAAAACCTGAATATAGAGATAGGAAAGCAGGGGCCAACCATCGTCAACTCCTGTTGGGAGCATAGGTYCCCCTGCCCACGCAGGTGACAATGCCCAGGAAACAGCCTTCAGTGGTGACAAATGTCTGTGCTTTCATTTTTATTATTTGAGCAGCAGGTTGAGCTAGAAGCCTGTGTCCCTGGTGCCCCTTTTCAAAGGCCTCCCACCCCAGCAATTATAAAGGACGGGGAGAATGGGCATGGAGGGGCAGGAGGAGCCTGCAGATGTGTTGGAAGCCACGGCCCGGGGAGTATTAATCACCTCCCATTCCTTATTGAAGTGTCAGAGGGGGACTAGGGAAGGCTGATCGTGCCGCCTGCAAGCTGGGGTTCTACAGCTYGTGATGGACATGGAGTCCGAGGGAAAAAGAAAGAGTGCATCAAAATAAATGCCGCCTGGAAACCAAGGGGGCCAGAGGAGTTCATTGCCACCACCTGCCAATATCAATATTTCACAGCAGAGTGACAGGCACTCTGAAGGCTCTGGGTGTTTGAAGACAAAGTGTTGTGACTTCAAAGGAACCTAAAGCTGGGCCCTGGTTGCCCCCATTTACAGACAACTTGCTTGGAGCTTCTTTGACCTGGCAGGTCCTGGAGGGGAGATCAGAGCCGACCCTCAGCTGCGTGTGTGTGTGTGTGTGTGTGTGTGTGTGTGTGTGTTTTGGGGTGAGGGAGGATGACGGCTTTCCCACGGCAGGACAGGGAGGCGTGATCTGGCCTGGGTGACCCGTGATGCTGTAACTTGGGGAGCTTGATGGAGTTCAACAAAGATTTTGTTATTGACAATGACCTTTGGGGAAGGGGATTGGCCAATTAAAAGGTAGGGAAAACATCAGTCTCAGCCCGGATACACCAACAAGATGAGGAAGACATTTACTAACAATGCTCAGGAACATCTGTGTCCAGGGGCTGCAATATGTACTAACCATTTTTTTTTTCTGGTCTTCTTTATGTTTTGGAGACTCTTCCTGTCAATAACTTAGGAAGATGAGAGAGAGGATGTTTTTTAAAATTTTTTTTTCAAAAGATGTTTAATTTCTCTCTTCTCCAAACTATTCCAATAGCTTGGTACTAATCATTGGAATTAACAGATGGCTCGATGGTGAAGTCATCTGCAAGCAGAAGGCCAGAGGAGTTATGGAGGATAAAGACCTAATTTATGAGATTTTACATTAATTAGAGCCCATGAGACACTCCTGAGAACGTGTTTTCTTTCTTAAACCTAAACCGAGTAGACCATCCCGGCCAAGTCTCCAACAAGGGATCCGACGGGGCTGACTAGAACTTTCTGTTCAGTTACTAAGCACTGTGGACTCACCAGGCACCCCAGCTAAATGTAGAATGTGMAGGCATATCATTGATTTTTCATATCACGGTTTCAAAGAACGCTGTTCATTGGCCACATTCACTGGAGTGTCAGGCTGTGTGTGCACTGGGTTGGGGGCCACTCACTGAAGGGACTGGCTCTTGTATATGAAGCCATTGAATGTCCCAAGGAAAGCAAGCATCTGCCTTAGACTCTAAATCGTCTGT